GGGTGGAGGGACAGCGCAGGAGGGGAAGACCCTCTATGAGGTGGATTGATTCAGTGACTGGGGTAATAGGGATGGGTGTGTCAGAAGCAATGCGATTGGCACAGGATAGAGCAGGGTTTACAGCTGTTGTACATAGGGTCGCTGAGTCGCAAGCGACTTGACAGCACATAACAACAACATGCATCAGAGAGCTAAAGCAAGGATGACAAGAAGAATTGAAGCCAGTTGTGGTGCTAGAGAAGTGTGGGAGGTTTTGAAGCCACTGTGCCTTGGTTAACTGTCAGTGTATAAGTCTACAGTACTGCTCTGAGAATACTTAGCCAGAAGTTAACTGAAAACAGCTTCCTGGACAAGTACACCATATATGTCTGTAGAAAACAGGGAGCATTCATGAGATCTCACAAGACCCAAAAGGGCAGCTGTGAAGTCTTAATTAATGGGAAACTAAAGTCCTTGAGAGTCTCTGGAAAGTAAGATTTACGAGAAGCTACTGTCCTTGAGAGTTAGAATAGATACATGCTTTTAGTGCGTGTTAGGATTTTCTGAATATATCATTAAAAGCTCTGGTTCTTGGATGTCCAAGGACACCATTCCTTTCAAACCCCAGAGATAGTTGTTAGATTTATTACTTTACGGTCTTTGAGGTAACTGTTTAGCAAGAAGTCTGGTTATTCTGACAGTAATGGAATGCTTGTGTTCTCTATATATATTATGAGAAAAAGAAACATTCATGGCCTTGGCTTTTGCCTTGGTTCCCTGTCTTACTTTTTGTCTGTTTTTTCCTTCAGCAGTGCCATGTCCTCAGGTCTCAGCTGGTAAGTGGCTAGAGAGTCTTGAACATACCATGGACCACCATGATAACAAACAGGAGAGGGTGAAACCAAGTTTCTCCTTGGACACCAGGATTTTGAAGCTCTGTCTCACAAACGTAGGGCATGTGGCCAGGAGGGACCTATCCTTGAAGAAGGACATGATTCTCGGAAGGATGGAGAGATAGCACAGGCGAGGAAGACCCCAGATGAGATGGACTGATACAGGAACTAGGGCAATGGAGGTAGGTGTATTAAGAGTCAGAGATTGGTTCAGGACAGGGCAGGATTCAGAGCTGTTGTACACAGCTTACTACGAATTGCAAGTGACTCGATGGCACATAACACCACCACCATAACATTTATACTTTATATTTTACGCCAAAAGCATAGAATGCAGTACACATCCCTTAAGAGCAAAGATTTCTGCACCAGTCAGACCAGGACCTACAGAAGCACCAGAATCCACAGCAGAGAACCAGAATCCAACATGAGTCAGATGGAGCCAAAGGGTCATCACCTACATCTGCAGGAGGACAGGGTGGGGAGATACCATATTTGGCAGGAGTATAAGTCAGCTTTTTAACATTGGCCTAAAGCTTCAGGTCGAAAGACAGCGGTGCCTGCAAGCATACTTAAGACACAATCAATAAGAGTGCATCTAAATTCCAAAATCAATCTCCGTAACAGTCTATATGTTTCCTACTGCCAAAGGGGCCCTTTAGAGTAGTGAGAGAAGATCTTCACCCTGAAACCCACAGCGTCCCTTTTCAGCAGGAAGTAGCTAAGAGAATAC